TTTTTTTTTTTTTAAGTTATAACCTTCAGATTTTAGAAGATGTGTGTGTTTTTTGTGAACACTGAAGGAGTATTGTTCTTTCTAATTCTTGAGAAATGGTATTTTTAATAGCAGGGGCAAATGGGTGTCATTTTCACTGAATATGTAATCAGATTAAGTTTCAGTATCTGTCAACATTAGGTACCATAGAAATGTATTCACAGATTTGCCTATTTCTAAAATGGATTTAACTCAATAGGCATTCCTAAAAGCTTCATCTTCACAGGTCTTGAAATTGCTCTCTAAAGTGTTTTCACAGTCACTGAAGTGACTGTTTAATTCAGCAATTACTTTTGATACTCAGCATGCTGATTTTTCAATATAAAATATCACTTAACTGAACACTCAATCCCTTTATGGAATGTGTTCATAAAAGTCCCTTCAGTTCATTCCATAGCATTGATGGATATTTGATTTTCCCTGTTGACTGAGCCTTCTTTTGCTTTGCTTGTAATTATGTATACATCAGAAAAGCTTTGGTAATGTTTATTTTATTGATTTAAAGAAAATGTTTAGACTTTCAGTCGCAGCATAATTTAGCTCTTAATCCTTAGACTTTTATTTGGCTGCACTGTGTTATAGCAGACGTTATTTTTATGAGCTTCTGTAATTTCTGTCGTCTTTTTAATTTTTTTTTAACATTTATCTTGCTTTTTTTATCCTCTCTGGTTGTAGCAGAGACCTAAAGGACGAATAGCAATAACAGATAATTAATCCAAGCAGGATAGTGTAGATATGGTAGCAAAATCTGAGGAGTGGAATTCTCTGCAGTGAGCTCTGTGAGGTTCTATCAGATACTTCAGAGAAATTATTGATGTCTTCATTAAAATACATTGCTCCCTGCAGAGACGCAACTTGAGGAACCTGCAGAATCTCACTGGGGAAAACGGGCAACTTTTTATCACCAGTCACCGCTGTAGAGTCCAGCACCCTGCAAGGGACTCAACAGCCTAAGCCTGATTTTATGTCTAGTGTTTATGACATGGCTGAGCATATGAGTGTGTTCAGCAGTCCATTAAGCTAGCTCAGCAGTTCATTCAGCTGCCAATGTCCTCCCAAAGAGTACTCTTTGCCCTGGCAGTAAAGCTGCTGTAGTGGTGTTCACATGGAATCACCAGAAGTATGCATATGCATGCACTTTTGTGGCATGGTGGTGGTAGTTGCTGTTTGCTGCCAGAAGTCCTGGTGACAAAGTACTGTTTGTATGTAGTAGCTCATGGGAGGATCCAGGATTTTATGACAGGTAAAAACATTTAGGTAGAGGGGAGGAACCCACCCATTGCTGTTCTGATTTTGGCTGGAGTGTGGCAGGAGCATCTTGGAGTCGCCTGCCCTTCCCATCCCACACCCAGATCTGTTGGGGACAGCCGAAACTGCAGCAATGGCAGGCAGGGGTGGGAAGGAATGGGAGCGGGGATGTGCTGTTGAGGAAGGAAGGGAAGGAAAGGAAGGAGGTGTGAGATATTTACCTTTTTGGGGACTAAAAAAAACCAAGTCCCTGGCTGCTGCTGTCACAGTGGAATCAGAAAGGGGAGGTGCATCCACACTACTGCACCTCCTAAGGATCTGCCCTTGTAGTAGCCTCTTAGGAGGCCCTTTTCCTGTACCAGAAGCCCATTATACTATGTTCTATACACGTACAGAGTGAAGAGATGGTCACTGTTACAGAGAACTTTAAGGCATCAGATGGGTACTGACAGATGGGCAGAGCATAAGGAGACAATGGATGATACTGCTTAGTATGATCCAAGACATTTGTAGCATGTCAGCAGCTGTGCTAAATTAGAAATTATATCTAAGTGTTATTTAAAGAGGAATCTAAAGGAACTCAGTGAAGTGCCTTTGTGGGAGACTGTGAAGGGGTTTGAATGCAAAAATAAGCAGTGTGTGTTCAATGTGATTAAGAAGGGAGAGCACGTTGAGGGACTTAGAAAGGATTGCCGTGGTCAAGTGAATGATCTTTGCCACTTTCTAAATAGATGCTCAAGAAATGTTCCCAGAGTCATACCTATAATGGGGGGAGGGGAGCTTTAAGTTTTGTTTGATCACCAGTTCAAAGAATTTCCAAGGGATGTACAAATATGCAAGTTATTTTCAGACTTCTTTCAAGCAGAAGCCCAACAAGTAGAGACCAAAGTTCAGTTAGCATTGTTCCAGTCTACCACTGTATAAAGAAGCTGAAATAATCTGTTTCTGTCATGTGACAGATATTATAGGTTTGCATGAGAGAGAATTGCTGCTTGTAAAGACCTTGGTGGAAGTACTTACATTTGTAAACAGATCATTTATTTGACCCTGAATAAGTGAATACTGCAGTTGCCTAAGATTTGAGTCTTTTTCTCTGATTTGTGTGTTAGCACTGGAAACCAAGCTGAACATCAGGAACCTTTGGGTTAAGTGGAATGGTACCAGTCACTTAATTTATATGCCATCCCTTGCAGCTCTCCATGTTCTGTATTTAGTTCCTCTATAAAGTGCTACATCCACTTGCAGCACTTAAAAACAAGTATGCACTTACTCCAGAAATGACTACAAAACAGTAACACTTTTTCACTTCAAGAGTGCTTTCCATCAAATTTGTTTTTGTAAACATTTAATTAAGCTGCATAACAACTCTGTGAGTTAAGGATTATTTCATTTGCCATGTGGAAAAAACTGAAGCATAGGAAAGTTTAGTGAGGGTCTCAAATGAAATAGCCTTAATGCTTCCTTCCCAGTGTCCTATTCTGTTATATGCAAAACCCCTCTTCCTCTCTAACTATAAAATTATATGTTAATTTGCCTGGGATCTGAGTACCACACTTAATTATCAACATGGGCTTTAGAGCAGCAAAATGTTGCCACCAGTCATGTTAGGCTTTTAATTGTGAAAGCATTTTTCTAGATCTTGTTAGGAAAAGATGAGAGAGGTCTGCACTCTGAATTCAGACATGTCATAATTCTTCATTTGTTGGAGTAAGCTTCAGTTGAGGAGAAAAAAAAAACTTTCCCGGGCTTCTAGAAAAAGATTTTTTAAGTGTCAAGATTCATTGGCAAATAGTTGAGGAACTACTTGAATCTCTCTGTAAGTACAAAGCCATATATAGAGCTGCCCATGGATTGGAAGCTAGGAGATATGTCTTTTTTTTCCCCATGGTCATTTAACTTTCTTTTTTAAGAAATGCATCTCATTCTTTATATGAAGTAAGTTTTAATAAATATACTTTATGAGACTGTTTCCTGGCTTATTACTCAGCCAGCATCTTGCACTTCTCTCGCTCCTTTTCTTAACAAATGGTGATGTATCATGACATTGTGCATGAGTTTAGTACTTCTGTAGCTGAAGTTTCAAATTAGAATCCCATTTTCATGAATTTTTGTAACTAAGAGCTTTACAAATGTCTTTGCAAGATCTCTTAAAATCACCCTTACTTGTTATATTTTTACTGGGGAAAAAAATGTTCAAATTTGGATGTTTTACTCCGTGAATGTGTACGTGTTTCATAGCAACAAGGCCTTGTTGGGAAAATTGTATATGAAATGCTGTGACAGGAAATTAATTTCCAAAACAGCATTCAAATCAAAAGCTGGTTGAATTGTTTTCTTGAAACTTTTTTGAACAAAATATAATTTCCTGATTTAAAAAAAAAAAGGAAAAAAAAATTGAGGTAAATGTCTATTTTTAACAGTTTCCCAGGTCCCAAAAGCTTGTCCAGCAGTTTTCCCAACTATACAGTTGGCCCACTAAAAGATATCACAAAAGATCTTTGTCTCATTACATTAGTAGAAAGATTACAATGGCATGTTTTCATTTTTGCCTGTGTTTCTTCAGTGGGGGGGAGCTAATTCCCAGTTCCTTACTCAAGTTCTTGCTTTTACTAACATCTTCTGAATGTTAAGCATTTTGTTTTTGCTGAGCAGATTAATGTTGAGAGTGTGTAATGTGCCATACCTCTTAGTGTTAGACTGCTCAGCAGCTTGATAGTCAATTGACTACTTTTAGTGAAGACCTGGTGCAGCAAGGTATTTAAATACATTCATAATTTTAAGCACATGTATATAATGCTCATTAATGTTAAGCATAAAGTTATATATCATTTGAATGTGGGTCTATATGCATTTGAAGTGAATTATTAAAAGCTTCCAGAATCAACCTTTCAAACACTTGCCATGAGATTTCATGATCTACTACTTGATAAATAGAGTTAATATTCTCATTATGTTTTGTAATATAGTGGCTGTTATAAATATTTCTAACAGCACTTTCACTTTTTGTTTTTATTGGATTTCTTTTTGTAACCCTCAAGAGGCAAAAAAAGTCAACATTTTCAATTTGGTGATTGTGAAATAGTAAATTTGAGAGGCATGAACAGACGGAAGATGAACATCGTGCTCTGGCATCAATAATTCCATTCCAGTCTAAAAAAACAAAATGGAAGAAACATCTTAGTTTTGTCTCTCAGGTGACACAATTTTGCCTGGGCTTGACTGTCAGCTACTATCAGGCATAAAACTTTGTTTTCCTTCTTTTTCTGAAGAAATGGCTTGCATTCTTAACTTTCAGAATACAATGTAATTTTCAGAACTTTCTCTTTTTTTATCTGCAGACTGTGAAGACTGGGGCAGGAGTAACTTGTTTTTGTTGATTTCTAATAATTTGTTAAAAGCTCTAACATTTATTCCTAGGATTCTGAAAGCACACAGGACCTTGCAGAGGAACTTTACACTAACTTTTAGAGGTACTTACCTTCGTTGCCATATCAGGCCCCTGGGTTAGTTAGTGAATTGGCATCTTTTTTCCATTAAAGATTATGTTCTTTACCTGACACGGCACCCAGCTCTTAGAACGTTTGGTGCTTTAGGTCTCGGTGACTGGAATGAAGAGATTTTATTTAAATGGATGCTGAGATTTGAATACAGAATGAGTTTCTACCCTCATGGCTAATCATAGAAGAAGTCTGAAAAAGTAAAACTATTGCATCATAAGGACTCAGAAACCCCCCCCACAAAAAACAAACTCCCCGCCCCAACCTCCCCCCCACAACTAAATAGAACCCCAGATGTACTGAAAAAGAAAAAACAAAAACAAACCTGATTTTTAAGCTAGCTGCATCACATTGCAGGCCCAGACTCATGATTTTTGATTATGTGAGAATGGAAGTGTGGTTGGTAATGTTTCATAAAATAGTCAGAATTGTTGTTTCCCAGACATGACCTGTTGGAATGATCTCCATTGCAGTGAAGTTGGTGGTGGGAAGTTGATCTATTTGTTGCTGGGTATGAATGAAAGAAGCTTTGTTTTGGGGGGGGTTTGTTTTTTTAAGTTTCTCACCTTGACATTTCTGTATGTGTGAGTGGTTGGTTTGGTTGATTGCTTTAAAGGTATTAGGCCCAGAAGCTTGCTCTCTTATTTTTATCTCTTCCCTGGAAATTTGCTAAGACATTTGGTGGGGTTATGTGCATTTTGTTCTGCACGGCTTCCATGGAGTGCAACTGCTCATGCTCGCATCCTGCTGCAGTCCCATTGCAGTTTGTTTTTTTTTAAACTACTTTAAACAAATAAAGCAGTGTAATTTATTCAGTCCCCTTGTTCAAGGTAGGATCATTTCTACCGAAATCAACATAGACAAGTAAGTGCCTGCCTAACCTGCTCTTAAAAACATCTAAGGGTGGAGATTCTGCAATTTTGGGGGGTCACCTATTCTAGTACTTTACCATTGACATAGTGAAAAAGATCTTAGTAATATTCAGCCTAAATTTCTCTTGCTGCAAGTTTAAGACCATTACTCCTTGTCCTGTCCCATGCAGCCACAGTTTATCTCCATCCTCCATATAAACCCCGTTCAGGAATGTGAAAACAAGATTCCCTCAGTCTTCTCTTCTACGGGCTAAATAAATTTAGTTCTTCCAACCTTTCCTCAAATCAAGTTCCCTAGACCTGTAATTGTTTTGTAAGTCTGTGGTTCCCAAAACTGGATGTAGTTTTCCACACATACCTCTTCCTCCTGACCAAGTGAGGAACTGGAAAATAGAAGGGTTTTTTGTGTTCTTTCTTTCTATAAAGTTACTTCATTTGGAACAGTGAAGCAGCTGCTTTATCTGGAGAAATGCCATTTATTGTTATGACATTCCTTTGTGTGCTGTCAGGCTGTTAATATAAGGGAATTTTTCATGTTCACATTCTTCTTTAATGTGCCCTGTATTAATTTACTGCTTCAGAGCAGAGAAACAGGAATGTGCTCCAGATCAACAGCCTGCCATGCAGGTTCGGCTCTTCCATTCTAGTGATACCTCTCATTTTTTTTTCCAGGTCGTTTGTATTCGTTCTACATGGAATGCGCTTTCGCCAAAGCTGAGTTGTGACAGGCGTCCGCTCATTTTAAAAACACTGAACGAACTGTTTGCCCTGGTTCCCTCATTAACGGTGAACACAAATGACTATGAGGTATGTCTCTCAGGTCTGAAGTGGATATTTCTGCATGTGAGTTTTAAATGTGTTACCTCACTTTAGAGACATCTCTAGTCTGATTGTAACAGTTCATGGTACCCTTACAGTTGCATGGTATTTTCAAGGTGCTTTTATATGAATTAACCAATTGATCCTGTGAGTTCAGGTAAGAACATGCCTGTTCATCTCCCACAGGTGCAGTGTTGGCAATAGGCTTTGTATCTCAAGAACCCCTGGCATATGGGAAAAGATACTCTTCTCTTATTACAAATAATTCTGCAGTTTTTGGATGCCCTCTTTTGCCCAAAGTTGAGATGGGTTTTGGGTGCCCTCTTTTTTCCCTTGTTCATTGAGTGAATGTGGAGTTGGAAGCCATTTCCTTTGGACAGGCAGACAACTGAAGTGGCTTTTGTTTTCACTTTCATGGTCACTACAGATTGAGGAGCAAGGGGTGGCTTGGCTTTCTGTTTATTTTCTTCTCTTTCTCCCAGGAAAAAAGTGGGATGTGGAGAAAGAAGATGCATATGTGCACTCTGTTCATTGCTTCCTTTTCTGACATGAAGCACATGGGGAGGAGCAGGATTGCCACCAAGATTCCGTACAGGGTTTGAAATACGGGATTGGGGGGCCTGAGCCCCCCTATAAGAAACAAGAGCCCCCATAAGCCCTCTTATAAGAGATGAGAGCCCCAGACTACCCCACACCTTTCTAAGCAGCTCAAGCACAGAACCTTCCCAAAGAGCTGGAGTGTAATTCAGACTCTATCCCTGTGGTTGGATATGGGATGCAGTATAATCAGCATTTGGATACCAATGTGATAGGTGCCCTAGATAGATAGATGAATGTGCTGATGTTTTTCAAACATATATCTCTTGCCCTGCAAATTAGGCTAGCTTAGTCTTTAACCCTGAAAGCCATGCTTTGATTCTGCCATGTAGATATGTCAAACTATTTCACCATTATAGCCCTAAAAAGAAAGAAATTTCAATAGTGGGTGCAGTTCATTTGTAAAGTTGTGGGGAGGGAGGGGAAATTTTTCCTTCACACAAGCAGAATTCAGGAGCAGATTACCAGATTAAGTGTGTTTGATACGTATTTTCAACCTACCAGCAATATACAGAAAGACACCTGTGTTGTTTTAACCACTGAGCCGTAGTGTTTTAATTCCCTCTTAAGGCTTTTAGCAGATCTTTTTGGCTACTTTTTTTCTTTCATAATGCAGTAATTCTTTCTTCAGGTTTCAGGTTAGCAGGTGACTCTGCTGTTGTGGTTTCTAGACTGTGGAACTCTCATCCCCTTAATCTGTCTCATTTCTTCTCTTTCTTCTTTGTCTTTTTTATCTCTGTCCTCCATAGGCAATGCTTTATTTTAAGCACAGTTGGGTAGTGCATAGAGAACTTTTACACTTTTTTTTTCTTCCTGTTTTGGAATACTCACTTTGTCTGGTTATGGTTAGAGGGTATATTTTTATTATACTTTCATTATACTTTTATATGTTTTTATTATACTTTTATTATTACTTTCATTGTAGTTTGTTTGTTTTTTTCTTGTACTAATTAAGTGCTTTGAATTCCTCAAACCATATCTGAGTTCCTAGTGCTGGAAATCAAAGGCTGGTTCTGGAAATTGTAATCTGTTGAGATAACATATTTAACTGAAGTGCTTTTGCTGGAATGCAGCCTCTCTTCCCTTCCACAAACTTTAAAAGATTTGAACCTCAGTCTTGTACATCTTGAATTCATTGTGACTACTTGTATGCTTAACATTAAGCATGTGCATCAGTGTTGCAAGACCTAGCCCTGGAGGAGGGAAGTTGCCGTGTGTGTGTGTGTGTGTGTGTGTGTGTGTGTGTGT